CACGTCGGCTACAAGCTAAGTTTGAAAGTAAACCAGAAGCTGGAGCGTCCTTTGACGATACAAGAGATTGGTTCACTTCTCCTGTCCCATGTAAATCCGTTTCAGTTCCAAGCGGCGACTCTCAGTTCCAAATATCCATCAGCGCTCCGCACAATCGCTCCTCTCCTCATCCTCTGCTCCACAAACCATCCATCCAGCCGCAGCAACGTAGACTGTCCAACAGCGCAGACATCTCCACTGAACAAAATGGGGCTGTGAAAAAAATGCTGCCCATTACAGACACACAAGCGCCCCGGTACTGTCCAGCACCGATAGTCAAATGGCGCAGACATTCCTACCAATCAAAATCAGTGCTGGTACACGCGTGCTGCCGAGAAGGTGCAACCACGAAGCACAAGATTCTTCTCTTTTGACGCATGTTGTGGCCAAAAAAACGCTGAAAACAATCCACATCGGGTCCACATGACGTAATAACAAACACCATGTGACAAAACAAAGACAAAAACAACAAAAAACATTAAAACATGTTGCACTGTGAACAAAAACAAGTTTTTGTGGCCTCTATTTAAAAAAAAAATTGCTGGTAAATTAAGGCGCACTGGGTACCTTTGTGAAAAATACCAACTTGGAAGAAAACCAGAAAGAATTAAATACAATGTACACAGTGCAGAAATGGCAACTGAAGTATAAATTTCAATAATGCACCATTTTTTCAAAGTGCGATCTTCAGTGAAATGTCATAATTTGACGAGAAAAAAAAAGGAAACCATTTGCTTCCAAGTGTAGCAATCAAACTACATGCCCGATCCACCTCCAAGTATTGTACATGCTTTTGTCCATACCAGCTGCTCACCAAATTTGGCGTCAGGTTCTGTCATTGACGTGTACCCCAAAATATGGGGGCATATCGATTTTGGTGACAATAAAGAGGCATTCCAGGGGCAATTATTTACAGGTTGCACCAAAACTGATTGGTACTCTAAATGCCAGTCTTTTTCTTGAGGAAAAACTGTACATCAGGTGAACTTGTCAGTGAAAATTTGATTTTTTATTTTTATTATTTTTTTTAAGCAAAGTGGTCCTTTAAATTGGTGGAATGTAAAATATTTGTTCAGATTAATAAACAGTAAGATATTCGGTTCGGTCATCAACTACATCAGTGGAGCGTTTTCTTGGTGCGCACTTCAGATCCTCGCCCCCAGTTTACTCGGTACACGCATCAAAAACTAGACACAGAGGACACATTACTAGTTGCGGACACCCTTGTGCACAACAGTTATCTAACTGATTTTTCCTCAAATTAACAATTTTACTGACCCTGCCAAAATGGCGATGTTTCCATTTGGAACAGTGCATTCTGGGATGCGTGTCGTCAGTATTCAAAGCTCTGTTGCGTTTTGTGCATTTTTACTTCACTTATTTATTACTTTTTGAATCCTATTTTGACCCGAGCAGGTATTGGAGGCACAGAAGTGTACTACGTGTGCTAATTTGGTCAAGTGTAGTTGTTCAATATCTTAGTGCAATACTATGAAATATATATTTATTATTCACAGAACTGATTGAACAAAATGCAGTTTTGGTTCATACGAAGTATAGAGTTTGAACTTTTTGTGTTGTTTCCTATTCTATTGATTAAAATTGATGAAAAGCATAAATATGTGTGCTGATCTGTTAGTCAATGTTGAAAAATTCGTAGAGCATCTCTGATAGAGTTGGGGGTGGGATCCTACAGTTGATAGAGTTGGGGGTGGGGTCCTACAGTTGATCCTATACATTATCTATCAGCTATATACTGTTAAAATATTCGCAAAATTGGATACAAGAGCATCATGTCAACCTACTAGTTGCATCAAGCAGTCTGGTAGCGCTCACAAGCATTGACTCATGCTGTTGGGATTTAATTTACAAAATACATCATAAATTCTACAGGATCAAGAATAGAGGATTGAGATGTTGTTTTATTTGATTCCTGCACATGTAGAAGCCAGTGGCTGATGCTGGTCTGTCAAGAAGGGGAAGCTCAATTTCGGGCTACATCATAAAATGTGTCTGTTTATTTCTACGTGAATTCTCCTCTCCGTTCTTTTTCAAGAAAATGATCTGTGACCATGGGCGTCATTTGGCCTATTTTAGGGAGGCTTCAGCCTCCCTAAAAATGTCTTTAGCCCCCCTAAATAATTTCATTGCATTATTTAAAAAAAAGTATGATTTATTTTTCCTGTACTTTTGCTAATACTTTGCATCAAATTCAACGTAATGTGGCCATTTTAAATTATATTTCGATAACCTGCCATTATTGTAATGTTAAATCTC